CAGAGTTGTGGGGGGGGGCATAGATATAAATCAAGACATATTGTATACATAAAGGACATTTTCAAAGGAAAAAAAAAAACTCTTTGATCCATGGAATGCTTAGCAAAACCAAAAGATGTTTTAAAAACTATGCTACAGTTTTGATACAGGTTTATATCTTGAATGTTTGCTAAAGGGCCATGAGCTCAAAGCTTGGGTTACAGCTGTGGTACTAACGAGAACCTTTAAGGAGGAAGGCCTTACAGAAGGAAGCTGCATAACTGAGGAAGCACATGAAGGAGATATTTGGGCTCTGATCTCTCATCTCTCTCTGCCTGCTAGCTGTCATAACAGAAGTAATTTCCTCTGCCATGCACTACTACCATGGTGTATTGCAAGACAGCCAACCACTGCTAAAGCCCTGAATTTTTGAAATCAAATAATTCTTCCCTCTTTTTTGTATGTGTCTGGGTAAACAATATGCACATGTATATGAAGGTAAACCTCTGATATTGTTCCTCAGGATAGCAGTGTACTTTGTTTTTTGAGACAGGGCCTCTCTCCGAACCTGGAGCTTTCCTGAAGAGGTTAAGCTGACTAGCCAGTGAAGCACAGATCCCCCTCACCCACACCCCTAATACTGGGATTACACACATGTAGGAATCACTGTGCCCAGGCTTTTTATAGGGGTCCCAGAGATTGAACTTGAGTCCATTATCAACTGAGCTACCTCCTATACATCTTTCCTCTTTATAGGTCTGTTTATCTCAGGTGTTTTCTCAGTGACTTACACAGACACTATTACTTTTAAGACTATGAATAAAATAACAATGGCTATTGACAGAGCACTTCTTGCGTGTTAAATAACACAGCAGATTCTGTATCTTCCTAACACTTTATTAAACTCTTCTAAATAAGACACTTCACTTAAGAGTTAGCTAACTCTCCTGAATAGACTTGTTTGCTAAATGGAGAATCACCAGGAGGCCTGCCAAAGACAAGGTGTAGACTAAATTACGAAAGACGAATAAACAATCAGTTGGACAGAAGCATTTGGATCAGCAGTTATCGACCTGGGGGGTCATGACCCTTTTGCCAAATCTCTATCTCCCAAAATACAATTCACCCCAGTAGCAAAATTACTGTTATGAAATAGCAAGGATTGTATGGTTGGGGTCAGCATAACATGAGGAACTGTATTAAAGGGTGACAGAAGTAGAAAGGCTGAGAACCACTAGATTAAGAAGCAATGTTTTAGAAGTACTTATTCTAGAGAGTACAAAATGGAGTGTAATTTGGTTATGTGCCTACTATGAGACAGTTAATGTTTCCATTATTCAAATATCAATATGCTATAAGAGAGAGCTAGGGATGTAACTCGGTGGTACAGTACTAGCCTCACATGCTCAAGGCTCTGGCTTCTATCTCCTCAATCTCTCCATCCAGCACCTCCCCATCCCCCAGGTTTCACATATGAATCATAATTCCTAGCTTTATAGGCAGAAAAAAAGGAAACTTGGAAGAACTGAATGTTTTATTCAAATTATCAACATTTGTGCAGCCAGTATGTGTTAGAACCAGAATGGGAATCCAGGACAGTTTGATTACAAAGCTTCTATTCCTTTGTGCTCCCCCATAGGTCTAAAGTGCTCACATTCACATTTTCTGCCTTTAAGAATGTCATTACATTGAGGGGCTTGGGGAATGAACTGACTTTCTTGGTTTAGGGCAGGACATCAGACAATCAGTTCTTTCAGTTCTGCGATCATAAGACATAAGAAGACAGACCACCCAAGCTTGTTCGAGAAGTTAATGACCCATCTGTATCTACTGACTTCCTAGCTCAGAGAATCTTTGATAGGGAATCTATTATACAAAAGAACACAGTTCTGATATATGTCATCACAACCAACTTAAGACTCTTGTTGAACATGTAACAAAACAAGCACTCTGTTATTATATAACTATTATTAAAATGAATACAGAAGTCTTTTACCTGGGAGACACAGGTAAAGGTAATAAAGATGTCTGTATAACTTTAGATTTACATAACTAACTACAAATAATAATTACCACTCATAACATAGGTTGAGTTAGAGACAAAGAAATTTAATAAAGAGGTTAACTAACTTTAGTTCCTGAGAAAAAAGAGGTATGGTTAGAACAGTCACTGTTATCCTCTAACTGTATTTTTCTAAGTGTGGGTGCAGCACAGAGAAATTCTACTAAACAGCTTCCCAGACTAAGTGTTAGTCTGGTTAGTGAGGATAATCACAAACACAAGCTACTGAATAACAGGGTGAAAGTCACTTTATCGGTGAGGAATTACTTATCTTAAAGCTTAAGACTTAAACACTGCGTACCACAGAGGAAAGGAGACTCACTCCAGAGTTCGTTAAATTGGCAATAAAGTCTTGTCCTTCTATGTTACCACACTGTCAGCCTTCAATCATGGTCCAAATGAACACAATAATATCTAAAACACAAGACAGGCTTCTTCCTCTCATCTGTTGTTCTTCCCAGACAGCTCTTTATATTACTGAGAAAACCTGGACTTCCCTGACAATTGCTATTTACCAAGATGAAGTCAAAAGCCCTACTGTGTCTGGCATGGTGATATGTGCCTTAATTCAGCACTGTGAAAGCAGAAGCAGATGGCTCCTGTGAGATCAAGGCCAAAAAAAGAAAGAAAAAGAAAGATGACATGAAGAGGGATCCTCCTTCTGACAAAGAGGTGAGGGCATGAGTGGAGGCCATCATCCACTCATTATTTACACCTCCTGGGCTTGAAAGCACCTCCACTAAATCTATGTCCTACAGATTATTAAACAGAACAAAAACAGGTGTTCTTTAAAGAATTCAGAGAAGACAGACCTGGACAGGACAACAACAATGTTTTCTAAAGTAAACTTCAAGTAGAAGAACTTGTTTTCCTACAAATGAACTCATAAGTTTTAATTGCAACTATATAGTATGGTTATTATTATTTAGAAGATTAGCTCAGAGTCCAGTCTACATAACTTCTACTTTTCATTTTCATAGCAGTCATTATGCTTTGGTTAAACACTTTTAGTCTTCTAGTACAGTTTCCCATTTGTTCCTGCCAGGCATAAATAGCCATAAAATTAACCTAACTTTTTCAAGAAGTTAAGAATTTGTTAAAGTGTTTACAAACTTCTTAAAAGTTTAGAATTCTTCATATCTAATTTTTAAGTTTGAAATATTTCAATTAAATAAAACTTCAAGAACTTAAGTTTGGACATGTCACATATCCAAAATTTCTAGTTCAAAGATTAGCACCCATTCATCTAAGGATACTGACTGTTCTTCAATCAACTCCAGGACTCCTTCAATGAACAATTACTGTTTTATTATTTCTATTTGGAACCAAAGTACAAACATCAGAACACTTTCCTCATTTACTTAGCAGTTAAGAGATTCTAGTGTCTCAAAAGCTCTATCTCAGCCTCCAAGAACAAAAAATCACCGGAACAGAAAATAAAGCTAACAAATGATTCCATCAGTATTTCTGCAATAGTAATTCTGACAGTCTACAGTTTTCCAAGGTGACATTCTAAGAGGAAACCCTTTGTAATGTTTCTTAAAAGTTAGTCAGCTTATTTTGTAATATCTTGAAAGTATAGCTTTTATAGCAAAACCAAAACAAAACATTCAAAGGTTGACTTGTGTTGGGGTTCAGACACTGATACCCTACGTATAGCACTTGGGCATGCTGAGAACATTAAACTAAGGGAGACTTGAAGGCTTCCAAAAGCAAATTCTCCTTCTTAACTCTTGTCCCTTTTTTTTTTTTTTCTCTCAAAGTCATAGAAACAAGAATTCTTCTTCCTCAAGGATGATAAAAGAAACCTAATGCCTGAAAAGGCCACTCCTTCCTTGGAAAATATTCTTTCTGGAGGGGTTCTGTGAACAGGGTAGAAGGAACGCTACAAAGAGGTAGAGACAAACACAGGAAGATAGGCACCTGGTATGGTGGCATATACCTTTAATCCCATCACTTGAGAGGCAAAGTACAATACAGTCTGCTATGCAGAGAAAACTGACTGTAGATTATAACTTACTTGCTTGGGAAAAAAACTGACGTGTAATATAAAAATAACCCCTGATGGTGCATTCAATAACTCGGTGTCATTATCTCATGGATATATCTATGTATTACATAATACATTAAAACATATTACTTATTATAATGTGTATAATGTGACAAAGTTTTTGAAAGGCTGGAGTTTAACCACGTTGGCCTCTATACATAAAATTGGCTGTGGACCTGTTAATTGTAAAACTCATACATCATAAAATAATTCTGACATCTGAAAACCCTTGCCAGACAAGGGCAAATCTAACAGAAAAGGCTGAAGCGAACGATTTTACAAGAAAAAAAAATTCTTGAATTTCTAGTTTTGCTACAATAAACTAAGCAAACTTAAAAGGCAATGGATAATCCAGATAATGTATGTCAATTACTAAATGTGGAGCCCCAGTCAAGAAAGTGAGAGGTGAACAAAGGCCTAAGAGTTACAAGAAAGAGGTCAATGGAACAGGGGGAACCTTTAATTACAACTGAAAACCACTGTCTATCATCAGGACAGAGTTAACTGATGAAAACACTGGCTTCCCTTTCATTTGGTGTTGCAACAGTTTAATTTTCCATTTTGTGAAACTTGGGGATTATCCTTCCCAATTGTCTCTAGCTACGCATTAACATATTAACAAATCAAAAGCAATGCTACAATTAGGCGAATCTAAGGAAATGTTAGCGTGAGAGCTAGGGATACTAAAAACAGATCAAGAGAGATGATTCCGTTTTGTCAGTGGCGATGAGCAACTCGGGAGACGAGCTGAGCAGAGGTGGGGCACGACGCGCACACTCAAGCAGCAAGCAGGAAGAACTATCAACAGGAGGCAGCTGGAGGAGCTGTCTGCTGATCTGCACCGGTGTTTGCAGGCAGCCCAGCCCGCCCTCCCGCCCTCCTTTTCCCTGGGTCAAAGTCACCAGTCACCTGGAGTGGGAGTTCCGGAGCGACTCGATCAGCCGCTGTTTCTGCTGCTGCAGACTGGTGAGGCCGGCGGGGGACCCGGCCGCGGAGGACGACGCGCTCTTGGTCAGGGGAAAGAGCCAGCTCATCCTCCTCGGGTCCCGGCCCGAGGCCCTCCGCTTCAGGCCTGTTCCTCCTCGCTTAGGCGAGCCTTTCCCCGGCGACCGAGCACGGCCGGCGCGCAGGCGGCAGCGTCTTCCCCCACGCGCCGCGCTCGCGATTCCTCGGCTTGTCCGGCGGGACGCGCGCTTCCACGGGCCGGGGCGGCTGGGAAAGGGCAGCCCGCCTAGAGGACGGGCCCTCGGTCCGCTGGCACCCAATACCACCAGCCAGTCCGCCAGTCAGTTAGGCCCGCCGGCTGCCAGGAGCTCCGCAGCCCGACGTCCGTCACCTGCCTGCCCCGCCTCCCAAGTGCCCCGCCCCCTCGGCGCTCGCGTCATCATGCCGCGCCCTCGTCAGGACGTGCGAGGAGCGACGGCGCCGCGCTGGGGTAGCGCGGCTCCAGCTACCCTTTCCCCTTTCCAGGGCGAGAGGTGTCTATGGGGCACCCGCTGCCGCCGCCGGTACCGCCGCCGCCGCCGCCGCCGCCGGGTGCTATCTCTATGGCGAGGAGGAAGAGGAGGAGCGCGAGCTCAGAGACACAAGTAGATCCGGCGGGGCCCGGGCTTGCGGGGGCAATGGGAAAGGGGCGGCAGTGGGAAGCTGAGAGGGCGCGCGATGGCGCCCGCTGCAGAGCGGCGGTGGCCGACGGAGCTGGCAGACAGGGAGGAGGAGGGGGTGGTAACGGGCCGGGGGCCTGTCAGGAGTGCGGCGCGCGGTGATGACGCCACCGCTTTGTACCTGGGACTCCGTTGTGGGGGAGGAAATTGAGAGTGGAGGGCGGTGGCCTACTTGTAACCGGGAGGGAGCTGGTCTTCGCAGTGGTTGCGAGGCAATCTGGCCCTAGTAAATGCTATCAGCACCTTCAGCCTGGCTGTGTGCCAGCGAGGAGACTTATCATTGACATGAACGCGCCTGTGCTTTCTTCGCGTCGCTCTGGGAGCCCACGGAGGACGTGCGACCTCAGTAATGAGAAGGCCTTTGGTGCCTCCTGAGGGCCCCTGAGACCGCAGCGGACAAGAGGGGTGGAGGAAAGCGGGGTGAAATTACAGTGTTTCCGTGGTGTGTGCTTGTGCCTGTGTTAGCAGGGAGAAGAGGAAGAAAGAAGGCGTGCCCAGTATCACCTTAGGTTTCTGAGATTACTCCAGTTTGCGTTTACGAGTTCAGAACACAAGGCCATCCTCTTTTCCTCGTTTTGTGTTTTGTTTGGCTGGCTGGTTGTTTGGGGGGTTTTCTTTTTCCTTCTAACATTTAGTAATTTCTTGCCTAAGAAGCAAGTCTGTTTTTTGTCTGTATCACCTCATCATTGTATAACGTGAACATTGTGTCTGTGAACCAAAAACCTGAAGTCCCTCTTTGATAGCTAAGGGAAATGGTCGGGTTTTTTCGAAATCCAAAAATTTTAGATGCCCACATTTTATTGCCTTCTTTCTTTCTCCTTCCTGCCGTGTGAACATTCATTTCTGACATTGCTGGATGCTTTCTTGGAACTTTTAATTGTTCTGTTGTTGTTTCCTCTGATTTGGTTTGAATGAATACCAATTCCAGTCATGCAGAATTTCTTAACAGTAAGGTTTTAAGTGTTTTATTGGAAGAATAAAAAGCTAGCACTACTTTTGGAGACATTTTATCTTGTTGATTTCAGGTTTTTTTGTTTTTTTGGTTTTTTTTTTTCTTTCTAAATCTTGAAATGGATCATAGGTTTGTGTGGAGTGAATTGAATTGGGAGCAGATTTTAATTAATGAAATTTATATTCAACTGGTAATCCATTTTGTGATGCATTATTCTCTGTGTATTAGCTGTGTATCTTAAGCAAAGTAACTTTCTAAAACTTTAGAATCATGAACATTGAATAAGTAACCTGAAGTTTATACCAGCCCTCTTTTATGATTCACATTTATGATATAGGTGGTTTTATTTTCAACAGGTACACAAGTAAAGGGTAAAATATTTTTATGAAACAAATCTTCAATCAAGTGTAACATTTTGATGCTTGGCATCTAGACTCCTTGTGCTGTCACTATGCCAGCAGCAACTGTAGATCATAGCCAAAGAATTTGTGAAGTTTGGGCTTGTAACCTGGATGAAGAGATGAAGAAAATTCGTCAAGTTATCCGAAAATATAATTATGTTGCTATGGTATGGACATAACTAAATCTTTAAAATGCCTTTTGTGAGGATGCAGTGGGGAATCCTTGTGCATGCATGTTTGTGTTCGTGTGTACATAAGTGTATGTGAGTGTGACTTGTTCTTTCACTGGCCTGGGACTTGCTTATTAAGCTAAGCTGACTGTCCAGGAAGCCCCAGGGATTCACCTGCCTCTGCTTTCCAGGCACTTAAATTACAAGCACATGGACTATGCACTTTTAAAAACATAGATTCTAGAGGTTAAACTCCCATCCTCATGCTTGCATGCCAAACACTTTACCCAATGAACTGACTCTCCAGGTCCTGAAGTGGGATTTAAAAAATCTTGAATTAAACCTTTTGATATCAAAGGATTAATTTAAAAAAAAAAAAAAGCCTGTCTCTCCAGCAAACAAACCTGTATTTGACAGGTTGAGTTTGTTACTGCTTGCATTAATCGATTAGGAGTCATAGGCATTTGAATGAAAGTGTTAGAAGTACTTTAGGATTGGGACTTGTGTCAGGTGATTTTAAAGGCTTATGGGAGACAGGCTGTGGATTGAATGCTCTAAGGAAGCTGGTATTCCTGTGGGTTCTTACTGAGTCTTCACTGCTGAGAAGACAAGGGTGATTTAATCATTTTTATAGTTTACACTTTTTTTTTTTTTTATCTTTGTTGGGACTTAGTTACAGAATGTACTTGCCCGATGTTGAAATTTTGTGAAACTGATTACATTCAACAGTAGAACACTAAAGCCTGTCTAAGAATGTCAGCTAGTACTGAGCAATCCCAAGGCCTTGCAACTAGTACCAGATAAGTTTTCAGAAACGTGAGTTCTTGGGTATGTTTTTCAAATAAACAAAACCCAGTTAGTCCTCTAAGGAAAACATTGCTAAAGCTGCAGAAACACATTTATGTTGTTAAACAGTTCTGTTCGTATAGGTGAAATTCAGTTTGCCTTGATTGTACAATTATTTTTCTGCTTTGTTACTGCACAGTTTGTTTCTTATAGCTAGTCTTCTGTTTTCTAGATGCACTCGATTATTAGCTCCAGAAAGCAGTACTTTAGTGACTTACTCATCTATCCCCATCCCCCCTCAAGTCTAGTGTAATGCTGGTAGAATGTAAAAATCGGCTGGTGTTGTACTAAATTAAAAGAAAAAATTCTTTACTGTGCCATATTGACTTCATTTTCATTTTTAGCTAGCCTTAATTTGAATTCTCCTACTAAACTAAAATGTAATTTTCTTAGTATCACAAGCTTAAAAAAAAAAAAGTGTTTCTCTGAGGATGAAGGGGGGGTGTGCTTGCTTAAAATAGTAATATCTATACATAGATATTCCATGTAATAGAGGTGTATTTATCCATAATTGGGGCTGGAGCTTTCTGTCTGGGCAAGGAGGATTACTTTATAGGCAGCAGAAATTCCTAGTTTCCATTTATTTCTTGGATGATAAGGAATAGCTGCAGTATAGAAATAACAGCTGATAAGAGGGAGTGGGAACTTGACATAATTTCTGCTAGTTTTCTTTTTCTTGGATATGGAGCAAATATTTGCTTGAGTTTATCATGAGTTATTTGTACAGGTTAATAATTTATTGATAAATTTGAACTAAGAAAAAGTAGCTAAGTTTATAGAATTTTGGAATCTAAAAAGTAATACTCAGCAACCCGGTGGTGGTGACGGAGGCCTTTTTAATCCCAGAACTCTTGCGGCCAAGGCAGGCCTCAAGAATTTCCGTGAGTTGGAGGCCAGCCTGATCTACCAAGTAAGTGCCCGACAGGCTCCAAAGATACAAAGAAACCCTATCTGGAAAAAAAATAATAATAATATTCTTATTTGAAGAGTACCTAATAATTGAGTGTGAACAGAGTATTATTGTAATAGAATTCTCTGATTTGTATCGGAAATTATCCTGAGAATTTGGATTCTAGTTATGCCCATTTAGTAAATAATGAATCTTAAAATTATTTTACAGGACACTGAGTTTCCAGGTGTTGTTGCAAGGCCCATTGGAGAATTCAGGAGCAATGCTGACTATCAATACCAACTATTGCGATGTAATGTAGACTTGTTAAAGATAATTCAGCTAGGACTGACATTCATGAATGAGCAAGGAGAATACCCTCCAGGAACTTCAACTTGGCAGTTTAATTTTAAATTTAATTTGACGTAAGTGGGAAATAAATACATAACCCCAGCTTTTTGTTTCTAGTTTAATTTTAGGAATTGGGTTTGAATGTAGTGAAATTCTAAGTGAATAAATTTCCCTGGAAATTTATTAAACATATAATTTCAAAAACTTAGGCTTATTATTATGAGGCAAAAAGGATTGAGATAATAAAATCTTCTAATTTCAAAAACTGTTCAATTATAGAGATGTTATTTCTAAACTATTACTGCTGCTTTTCCAGAAAGTTGTAAAACTGTATTTTTATTGTTGTTTGCTGTTATTTAAGGTGCTGCAGATTAAACCTGGGTCCTAAGACATGAATGGATATTGATTTTATTATTACATTTTGTTGTTGTTTGGCTCTTTTGAGACAGGGTCTCACTACATAGCCCAGGTCTCTTTGTAGACCATGTTGGCCTCAAACTCCCAGAGATCCATCTGCTTCTGCCTCCCAGTGCTGGGATTAAAGATTTGTGTCACTGCACCTAAAACTTTGACTTTTTTGTGCCCAATTTGAAATTCAAAAGTGGGGAGGCACATTTGCTGCTCCCAATCAAGCAGGTACCGGTCAGCTACAACCCCAACCCACTGTAGATTTGTTGAGATTTTGTTGAGATAGTCACCATTTCTTTGAAGGGATTTTTTTTATTTTATTACTTTTATACTTTGCATCTTGAGTAGATACTTATCATGTGCAATAAATTGTTTATTGGAAAGTTAGGTATCTTTTCAAATCTGTTCTTTAATGACTATTCCCATGCAACCCACAAAACCTCTTGATCTATATGCAGGAAATGTAATAGTATTCTTGAACCTTTCATATACTAGACTGTGATATGTAGCTCAAATCTTGGGTCTAAAGTCTGTTACTTCATTAAAATAGTTCTACATTATTCATTGTAGTCTTGGTAGCTGAGGGAACTACATGAAGTAGAGTCCATCC